CCGCAAAGAGGCGGCGGTGCCCTCCCCACTCCGATTGTGCCATCGTGACAGCTACGTTTTTTGTGCCACGTGATGCTGTTTTGGAAGTGACATCACAGATGCCCTGCGAGGTGGGTTGGCATCGTGCGGTTAACCCTTGCTTCCTCTCCTGCTCACCTATTACTCAAGAGTGTGTGTGTGGGGGGGAAACACATCGGCTATCAAATTGGAAGCTGGGGTAGTTTCTTTCCAAGCGTGGCATGGCCCCTCTTGGTGGGGTTTCCCCCTGGGAACCAACTTCAAGCTTAAGGGGGGGGGGGAATTTAACAGATGAACAGAGTTGGAAGGGACCTTGTAGGTCATCTAGTCCAACCCCTCGCCCAAGCAGGAGACCCTGCACCGTTTCTGACAGATGGACGTCCAGTCTCTTCTTGAAACCCTCCAGGGATGAAACTCCCACAACTTCCGAAGGAAAATTCTGTTCCATTGATTGTTCTCACTGTCCGAAAATCCCTCCTTATTTCCAGGTTGCAATCTTTCCTTGTTCAGTTTCCATCCATTGTTCCTTGTCTGGCCTTCTGATGCTTTGGAAAATAGATTGACCCCCTCCTCCTCTCTGTGGCAGCCCCTCAAATATTGGAAGATGCTATCCTGTCTCCCCTGGTCCTTCTCTTCCCTAGACCAGCCAGGCCCAGTTCCTGCAACCGTTCATTGTATATTTTAGTCTCCTGTCCCCTCATCATCCTGGTTGCTCTTCTCTGCACTCTTTCTAGAGTCTCAACATCTTTTTTATATTCTGGTGGCCAAAACTGGATGCAGTACTCTAGGTGTGGCCTTACTAAGGCTTTATGGAGTGGTATTAGTACCTTCCTTGATCTCGATTGTATCCCTCTGTTAATGCAATTTAGGATTGCATTGGCTTTTTTGGCTGCCACCACACATATCTGGCTCCTATTTCGCTGGTCGTCCACTAAGACTCCGAGATTCCTCTCCCAGTTCCTGCCGTTGAGCCTGGTTTCACCCAGTCTATCTGTGTCCTTTGGGTTTTTCTTGCCTAAGTGTA